GAAAGAAAATCCATGTCCACAAAAAGGATTTCATAAGAATGTTCATTGCAGCTTTATTCATAACAGCCAAAACTGAAATCAGCTTAAGGGTCTATCAACTGAGGAAGGGATACACAAACTGCAGAATATTCATATAATGAAATCTACTCAGCACTAAAAAGGAACTACTGATACATGTTACAAAATCAAAAACATTAGGCTGAGCAAAGTAAGTCTTACAGAAAGAGTAAATATCGTACGAACTGCATTTATATGAAATTCTAAAACAGGCAACTCTTATTCTAGAGTGGAAAAAACGTCAGAACGGTGGCTGCCTGAGGGAAAAGGGATAGTGACAGGATTGAGATAAGGGGTATGAGGGAACTTTCTGAAGTTTCTATAAGGAAAGTCATAATTTGAGTTACACAGGTATCTGCATTTGTCAAAACTCAGTGAATGTACACTTAAGATTTGCAGATTTCACACTAAAAGATAAATCTTTACACAAATAGTGAACTTAGATAATGATATGCATATTAGCATATTTGGAGAAGCTGCACAGATGCCTACCATTTACACTGATATGCTTTAATAAAAAGATGATTGATGGATAAAAGAACATATATGTAGGAATACACACGTAATAGAAATTATACAGTATTATAATTTATGTAAGCATTTCTCTATTGTTGAACAGTTGGCTTGTTACCAATTTTTTTGCTATTAGCAATAAATTTACATACCATCTTACAAATAGCTAATTTGTTCTTTAAATCATTTGCTTCCAAAGAGTAGTACATTGAGGTAAAAGAAAGAGATAGACACACTTTGCACATCTTTCTAACTAAAAGTTCTCTCTAAACTTTTTTTTTTAAAGAGGTACCTTAAGAAAAGTGTAAGGTTTTAAGAAAACACTAAGTAAAATATAATCCAGTTTATAATCAACAATTTTAAGTCTGGGAAGATATTTATGAAACTAGGTCCCTTTCTTCTATTACCAAATTAGACCCTTCTTAAATCTTGAGACAGGGCATTTGCTTACAAGTAATATTAAGGATCTTGCCAGGCAACGAAAAGTGTAAGATAATTCCCACTCTAAGACTGAAGCATTCTAACTCATTTTATTACCCACTGATAGGCAACAATTTAGAGTATATGGTGACTTTTAACAAGAACAACATTTGTACAAAGGCGAGGAAAAAAAAAAAAAAGACAAGCATGCCCATGCTGAAAAATCCAGAGAAGAGTCAGGAATGAGTTGAAAAATCTCTGTATTGTTAAATATGTATGGTAGTGGATACCATTAACAAAAAAAAAAACTGGTTTTGATTTTAAAATACCTCACATTACCTATCATAATCCAAGTAGTATATGTTAACAGGAAGCCCATTTCAAGATTTCTTCGATTTCATGTAAATACTATAAAATCTCAGAGTTTAATGTTTTGCTAAAGCCTTCAGAAAAAAAAAGAAAAAATACCTCATTTGAACTTTTCTATAAAAAGAGAACTCATCAGAATATATGGGTCCTTTAACAAAAATGTCACTACTAGATACCAAACTAAGGAGGTATCACTCTCAGTTGGTACTATTTATAAAACTCTTTTGACTACTATACTTCAAATAATAGAAAATCAGGGTCAAGGACCATATCTGTGTAAGAAAAAGTCCCATATAAATTCTAGTCAACAATAAAAGAATGGATCATCTTTACAAAGCCATCTTAAGAAGACAACAAAACTAGTATTTTGAGAACCTGTATCAACAATGGAAACAAGATTTTGTCTTAATTGCGGATAGGATGATTCCATTACTAACACAGTCTCTAAACCATATTCTAAACAAATTATCACAATCCAAGATAAGATAGAAAGGATTCCTAATTTTCCTGCTGGAAAAAATATGGTTATTCTTAACGTAATATAGATAAAGTGATAAGGATTTAAACATGGTTTCATACCACATCTGAGATCTTTAAAAATGATTTCCAAATGCCACATGTTCTCACTTAAATAAGGGGGAGCTAAACCTTGAGTACACATGGACACAGACAAGGGAATAATACACACTGGGGCTTACTTGAGGGTGGAAGGTAGAGGGTGGGGGGAGGCCGAAAATCAAAACACTGCCTATCTGGTACTATGCTCATTGCCTAGGTGATGAAATAATCTGTACACCAAAGCCCCCAAGACTTGCAATTTAACCATGTAACAAACCTGCACATATAACCCCTGAGCCTAAAAGTTGGAAAGAAAACAAAATTGTTTCATTTCATTCCATAGAACTGTAAACTCATTTTTAAATAGAAATAAAAGTATTAGTTAACATCATCCCTTCCAACCTTTGCTTGGCTAGCTTGGGCTCACCCTTTTAACACCTGCTTTAAAAAAAAATCTACCTAGAAGGACTTCCTTAACTGCTCTAAAGCAAGGATAAGAGCTCCTATTACATACTGGGACAGACAGTATAATGTACGTTTCCTGTCACGCCAGATTAGACACTAGATACTTTGCAGGTTTTTGTTGTTGTTGTTTATGCTTCCCTACTAGACTGTAAGCTCCTTAAGGCTTACAGAATGTTTGCCATTACACAATTGTGTCAGTATTTAACATCCAATCATCTAAGTACACTAAAATATTTCTGGAACAAATAAACTGTAATTTTTAAATTTTTTCATTCAAGGGATTGTACCAATTTCTCATCTTTAAAACAGCTATTCCATGACAATTCAATTACTATCATAATAACCAGTCACTGATAATTCTTTTCATTTCTCAGCCTATACATGATAAAGAAGACTAAAGTTTAATAAAACTTTAATGTTATGCATTCAATCACGGAAGTGTTGCAAACTGACTACAGGATATTATGTTTTCCTATCATTGAGAATTTTATTATTGTGTTTTCCACAACTGAGCTAAAATTTTTCTTAAAAAGCCAATTCAAGGTTAGGTTCTCATAACTACAACATAATTACGGTACTGTTTTATTGTTTATCTTCTAGCTAATCTGGATGTATGTAAAACTCCGAAACAGAATAACAAGTAACTATTGTAGCAAATAGAAGACATGTGATTTGAGAAACAAGCACTATTTTGTGTGACTTATCCTAAATACATTAATACACATAAGTATAACTATCATTTGTTGGTGATTACTCATAAAGTGGGGTGGTGAGAAATAACCTGATTGGTGAAACAATTTGTTAAAATAGTCAAACTTGGAATAAAGTATGCAAAAGTAGACATCTCTGTTGATTTATAAAATCAGACTTGGGCCTTTCATTTAGCCTAAAGAAAAAGAAATGCTATTTCATCTAAAACAAGCAAGACCCTTGAGCAAACAAATAGACAAAAGTCTGTTTATGATTCAATCCACTGCATTCCTAGTAAGTAGTGTCTGTATATCAAGAATGAATCCAGTGACCTAATAATAATTTCCTTTAAGTGTTTCTCATACCACAGGTCATGACCCATTAATGGATCACAAGCAGCATTCACTAAAAATGAAATCGAATAAGATATAAACTATCAGAGGACAACACATATATTAAGGGAAAGTATTGTTTCCAGAAGCTTTTGATTCAGTTGCATATGTGACCATGTAAAATGTATTTCTAAGTATGGGCTACAATAAAAAACATGTGAAAGCTACTGTCTTGCATATAAGCCCCTCCCCATTACTATTTCTCCCAAAAATCGGGAACTCTACACTTCAATTACTCACAAAAATGAAGTGACCTTAATCCAGGGTTCTGACAGTTTAAGTTTGATCTCACAAGCTCTAAAGTCAAACTACCTGAATTCAAACTCAATTTCTACTATTTCCTGAGTGAATCTGGACTTACTTAAACGATCTATATATGCTTCACTTTTGTCATCTGTAAAATGGTTAATCATATCTCCCAAGTGTGGTAAAAATAAATACTACTACAGTGGGTCAACACGTTTTACTATTAACAGAACAAACTGAAGAAGTGACACATATATATATTAGAAATATAAGAGAAACTTAACAGAAGTTATCTTTGGTGTGTTATCTTTGATGTTTGTGAGCGTGTGATGCCTTTCATTTTGTATTTTTCTGTCCTATTTGGGACAATACATGTATTTCTAATATAATGTTTCTAATGTATATAACATTATTACCTATATGTTTAAAATATCAACAGTAAGTATCGAGGCAGTGAAATTATAGTCCTTTGTTTTTCTTTTACAGTTTTATTTTATAAACATATTATTAGGTGTCTTTGAGAGAAAATCATCAACTATTTGCAAAAAAAAAAAAAAAAAAGACAAGTGTGAGGTCCAGAGCTTAAGAAATTCACACTTTTTGAGGGAGAACTTTGTGCCAGATACGTCTCACCAAATGCTCGCACAACATCATTTTATGATTTTTGCCCATGAGAAAACTGAGGCAACTGACACAAGGTAAACGGTCTGCTATACAACAAATAATAGTGGCCACAATATCAAAGCCTGTATTTCTTCTATCATCATATAATGCATCCAAATATTGTTCTCCAGTTGTTTCACACTGGCATATTTTGGTCTCCCCATCTAGACTGTAAACTTCTTTAAAAGAAGGGAAACTTTCATAAACTTCATTTCTGTCTTTCATTGGGTTACTAAGGCTACAATAGATGCTCAAACATTTGCTGGGTTGTATTAAACCTCTTTTGGTCTGGACTCTCCTCAAGGGACATACCTTTGTAAAAACAAAATAGCACACAAATGACAAAACTACTCTAAAGCTGTCCAAATCTAACTTTATTCCTGCACACCGAAAACTAAACTGTGCAACCACTGAAGAATTTCTTGGATTCATTTATCCCCCCACCCCAACCACGCCCCCATCACCCAGACACCATCAAAAGAAAGGCACCTCTAGTCTTCTGGTGAGGTGTTGAAGAACCATGACCACGCCCCCACTTTGTCCCATTACAATAACCTGCTTTCTTGTCCTAACTGGACCCTGCACCCAAACCCAAAACCCTTAATAAACAATTCAAAAGTCTCTGACCTGCAGCGAAGTGCAGGGGAGAAGACTTCCGGCCGGCCATGTCCTTTGCATTTACGTTTGCCGCGTCCACCAGCCTCTTTACCCGGGACACGTCCCCATTGCGACAGGCCTCCAGTAGTTCCCGTAGGGCCCCGCTCACTGCTGGGACCCCTGTCCCAGGTCCTGCTGCCCCAGGCCCCAGTGGTGCTGTGCTGCTAACTCCGGCCGCCTCGGGGCTCTCCGCCAAGCTCGATCCAGGGGAGGATGGAGAGGAAGATGAGGAAGAAGTCGGGGAAGAAGAGGACGACGGTGAATTGTTACTGCCACTGCCGGCTGGGTTGGGAGCGACCCCAACGGAAGATGAAGTAGAAACGGCTGGGACCACGGGAGCGGCGGCGACGGTACAGATTGTGCTGGTGGTATTGCAACAGCTGGTACCGTCAACCGGGTCCGGGGATCGGGGCCTGTCGGGCGGATCCCGACTGCCATCCCCCTCCGGCAGCGCTAGGCCGTGCCGCGGGGAAGCGAAGGGGGCCAGGCCGCTGGCCGTGGGAGAGGCTGGGGTGGTCCCCGGGGCCAGGCCAGGGCTGAGTGGGGGAGGAGGTGGCGGCGGCGGCGCTGAAGCCCCTGGGGCGGGCTGGAGCTGTTGTTGATGATGGTGGTGATGATGCTGAGAGCGACGCGACGCCGCCATCTTCGGACTCCCCTAGCACTGTCACTGCGGCAACGGCCCCCACCGCCCGCCCTCACTTCCGACCGTCGGACCAATCAGCATCCAGCGCACAGGAAATGATGCTAGCGGGGTAGGAGGGGCCAAAGAGAAAGAGGGAAGTATTGGGAGCTTAGGGAACAGCCAAAGGAACGGGGCGGGGCTTTGTCACTGAGAGGCGGGGTTTGTGACGTGGTGGCGGGCCGGCTGGAGAGATTTGAATGCTGGAACCAGCTCCTGCCTAGATGAGAAATATTTCTTGCATTTCTCACTTTCAGGCGGCTTGCCCTGGTCCGCTGTTTCCCTCAGTCTCCCTTTGCTTGCTCCAGAGCCAGCTGTTGAGATGCAGCTCAGAGCAAGCAGAGAATGTGTCGATTATCATCTATTAAGCGTCCTCGTCTGAAAAATGGAATAGTACCAACCTCACAGAATTATTAGCGGGATTAAAAGAGCTAACATAGACAAAGCGCTCTGCCAGTAAAACACAACTATAATTAGCCCATTGGTAATTTTTAAAATTATAGTATTTCTTTTCCAGGTGTGTCCTTGAGCTCTTGTCCCTTGCCTATAATTTTTCTCACCCTATGTGCTTTAATTCCTCGTTTTTAAATGCTGGTTTAGATTGCTAGGATTGGCATTCCAGCTCTGCCATTTGTTGTGTATATATGAGCCATTTCATCACTCTGCCTGTTTTTCTCTGTAAAATTGAAATAATGGTGCAATAGGTGTGAATTATTAAAATAATGATTTTTTTCCTATTCTGCTTATCTCTGAAATTTTATTTTTCACCCTACGTTTAACTAATTATGAATATATTCCTTTCTTTTGAATTCTAGTTTAGCTTAGCCTCTCCCACATCCCAAACGGATAAAAACCTGATTGCTAGGCTGGTCACGGTGGCTCATGCCTGTAATTCTAGCACTTTGGGAGGCCGAGACCCGCGGATCACTTGAGCCCAGGAGTTCGAAACCAGCCTGGCCATCATGGTGAAACTCTATCTCTACAAAAAATACACAAATTCGCTGGGCAAAGTGGCACACGCCTGTAGTCCCAGCTCCTCAGGAGTCTGTGTTGGGAGGGTCACTTGGGCCCGGGAGGCAGAGGTTGCAGTGAGCTGAGGTCACACCACTGCACTCCAGCCTGGGTTACAGATTGCTGTCCATTACTCACCATCAGGTCCTATTTTTCAGCAACTGCTTTTTCTGTCTTTCCCCTACCTATGTATACTTTTTTTTTCTGCCATCAAAAGATGTATCCGTGAATGAGATAATCCCATTGAAGACTCCATACCTACTGTTCAATAGTAAAGCAGGCATTATAGAATTATACACAAACAGCATTATTCCAATAGAGTGAACACAGATGGAAATTCTATGACCTAAGAGAAACAAGATTTAGATGAGTCAAGCAGAATATTAAACCAGGTGATACATTGTTTCATGTGTTCATTGTTAAATATGATTTATGTGATGTTAATATTCCCATTCAAATAAATAGATGAGTTTATTTGGGGTTACTAACTAAATACAATAAGGTCAGGAACATAATTAGTATTACGAATGGCATTTATTTTCATGTAATCTGGGGTTACAGATTATAATTCTTAACATTATCCAGCTGTCTGATAAAATTGTGCCATTGTTCACGGTAGACACCTAACAAAAAGTGTAGCTGGATAGGAAAACTCACATCAGTGCAACTCACATCAGTGCACATCAGTGCATCAGTCCACAACATTCTTCTTCATGCTTCTGTTTTTAAATCTTAACTTCTTGATGTAGAGCAGAGAACCATTGAGAAGTGGAGGTGGACCAACATGATATGCTAGATGTCCATAACATGCCATGTGTCCCCTAAATAATGGCCTCCTGGAATGGGAGGCATAAGAAATATCTCATCTAGTCTCCCAATGGCCAGTTACTCATAGAAAGTAGTGATGTTCAGACTTATTCAAAATGCATCTGTTGTGTCAGTACAAAAAAAAATGACAATAAAATAAGGAAGCCTCTGCTGGATAGGGATTTTTAAAAACTAAATTGCCAGCCGGGCGCAGTGGCTCATGCCTGTAATCCCAACACTTTGGGAGGCCGAGGTGGGCGGACCACGAGGTCAGGAGTTCGAGACCAGCCTGGCCAACGTGATAAAACCCCATCTCTACTAAAAATACAAAAATTAGCTGGGCGTGGTGGTGCGTGCCTGCAATCCCAGTTACTGGGGAGGCCGAGGCAGGAGAATGGCTTGAACCCAGGAGGCAGAGGTTGCAGTGAGCCGAGATCATGCCACTGCACTCCAGTCTAGGTGACAGAGCAACATTCTGTCCGAAAAAAAAAAAAAAAAAAAAAAAAAAAACTAAATTGCCTGAAACTGTACTGGAAAACCATGTGTGGAAATGTAGTCAATCAACTGGAAATTGCTTTTTTCCCTCCAGCAGAAAGTAGGAAAAGTACTTAACATTAAGTATTTATGAAGTGTAGATTTATACCGACTAATGTTGAGCTCCAAACATGAAAGGCCACATGCCATTACCTAATCTTCTGTGGCTAAACACAATTCCATGAGGAATGCACTATATCACAGTGGAAAGAGCAAAGCTTGGGGTCAAACAAACCTGGGCTTGAAAGTCACATCTCTGATTACTAGTTGGCTAATCTTGATAGATATGCTTCCCAGCCTAAAATTTTGACTTTAGTGTAGCACTGTCATGAGGATTAAAAGCCTAGATGTTTTATAAGCACTCTTTGAATGTTAGATCCGTTCTTCTACGTGGCATGCATAAAGTGTTAACATGAACTCACAGCCACTATTGATAGCTTTCCCCTCACAACTTCCTTTGTGACAAAGATAGGGGCTAGGAATAAATATCCATCATTCTGTACATAACGGGAATCTGAAGCAAAGAAACATTAGGTTTAATTCTTTCCTCATCTGATAATTCAGGATTCTTTATAAACCCTATCTCTAAACTATTGTTGATCACAGTTATGTCCTATCTTATTTTCATAAATGTTTTCACAAATAGTATCCTGGCCGAGTACAGTGGCTCGCTCACACTTATGATCCCAGCATTTTGGGAAGCTAAGGCAGGAGATTGCTTGATCCCAGAAAATCAAGATCAAAGATGAGCCTGGGCAACAAAGTGAGACCCTGTCTACACACACACACACACACACACACACACACACACACGCACGCACACGGTATACCCAAGTACTACAAAAATGGGAGCACATAGCACTCTCTTAGGCTATACCATTGACACACACAAAAAAAAGCCACCAACTCAAAGGACACCGATCTTTTCGGCTGTGTTCTGATGTTTGCCTTCTTACCCTATGGGGATCGCATGGACACTCTGAAAATCACACAATCAGGAACTTGCACAAGTTCCATATTTCAACTAGAACTGGTGTGTCATTCCATCTGTATACTTCCTATTGATCTTCCACAGTATTTGGTATTCTGGTAGTATTTCTACTAAGTCTAGTTATTCTTTGATCCCCTCTGCAAATCCATGAGCACAAGCCAGAGCTGTGGTTTGGCTAAGGCAGTGTCATTTCCTCATTTTGGTCCTACCGAAACATAATTAGTTATTTTTATGTCAGAAATGCCTATGGTGCCAAGGGCCCAGATTTCTCTATAAAAGCATTGCGTTCTCTTAGTGTTGAAGTTCCATCCAGAAACCCAGGTGAGTATTTTTTTACAAAACCACAGATGGGCAATGATGCCAACAGCTGCAATCGTACTAACAACCTTGTATCAGAAAAAGGTTTACCAAAAAAAGGCAAAACAACTTATTACAAGACAGCAAAATTACAGTAATTTAAAGATATCCTCTATATCAGTTTCCTAGCAACTCCCCCATGGAAGTTTTAGTAGTTTTATAAGATAGCTCACACATACCAGGGTCGTCTGGCTGCTGCTCCAAAGACATCTGTAGCCTGTACTGAGATAACTTGGATTTTCTCTGGCTAACATCTGTACACTTACGAGTAGTTGGTTTAATGTGAAATGTTAGTTCCAGGCAGAGAGTTAGTTCCGGGCAGAGAAGTGGTTAAGAGTGTGGATTCCACATACAGACTGCTTGGATATAAATCCTAGCTTTGCCATTAACTAGCTTCATATGATTAAAAGATGTTACATCATACATTTTAACAGGAATAAATAAAAATCTATTTGCTGTGCTTTAAAAAAAGAAGATAAACAAGTTTTCCCACCAAGAATATTCCTTTCCTTGTAAGCTTTTTTTCCAAAAGTAATTAAAATAATACATGCATACCCCATTATGGATTTGCATATGACTATATCACTCAAAAGAGATAAACACCTGCCCTCCCCCAAAGTCATAACCATGTTTAGAAAAGCCTCAGGAAGTCCTGAAATGCATTGATATGGAAGGGTATAACTAGCCAACAGTGCATATATAGTGATGTAATGGCTTATGTAGATGGATATAGCTAATCAGAATAGAGCAGATGCAACTGCAAACCAAGAGACTGCAAGGCACCCAGAGGGTTCACCCTCCCCAATCAGAACAGGGGGACACCCACCAAGCCATGATGAAAGTGGATTCCTGCCACTGCTTGAGGGGTCGTGACTACCACATACTGACCGTGAGGTGACTCCAACTGGTGGCCAAGACTGGGGCAAAGACCTCTGCCAGCAGAGACTATCAGAACTACCAGCTGAGAATGAGTGGCAGCCAAGCAGTGAGAGGCATTAATCAATCCCCAAACACATGGTTATGTGCCTTCCACCCACTATCTCCTTTTACTTGCTTGCTGTTGTTACTTGGCTTGTTGAAAGAAGGAAATGAGTGAAAGCTGTTTAAGTGGTGTATGCATGTAATTTCTCTTGGTATTACCTATTCCTCCATATCCTCAACCTAGGTGTTTTGATGCTGAGTTGCTCAGAATAAAACATTGTACAATCCAGGATAAGTCATTTAACCTCTGGTATGGTTTGGCTGTGTCCACACTCAAATCTCATCTTGA